ATGACAAGAAGTCGAGGGCCACACAGATTCTCCGTCTTGCAAGGAAAATTTCACAGCGAACCGAAGACAGTCCATACAACCTCAGAGAAGTGGGCAGAAGTATGGCTTGTTCCAAACTCCAGCTCCCAGAGAAAGACAACAAAGGTTCGTGTTTGCACTCCATCGGGTTTGATGCCGCTTCTGGAAGAATCGAGGTAAAGTTCAGTATGCAAGCTCGGAATGCCAAGGGCGATGACGGAATGTTTTGGGGTGAGCGTTGGGTTCGCCGCAAGAAAGACAACAGGTGGCCGGCACGGTATGTTATGGAAGAATATGTGGCGGACATCCATGTCCGAGAAGATGAAGATTGGGTACCGGAAGACTTGAAAAGTTCAGAACGCACATGGGATAAGTTGGCCCAGGACCTTGCAGATGATTTCGTGAAACACGGAAAGCTGATCTGCGACCCGTTCAAAGCCACGACTTGTCAGGTAGAGGTTGATAAACCTGAGCAACCTAAGGGTCTGAAGCGTTTCGCCTTGGAGCTTCGTGGCGGACACGAGGCCATTCCGCACTACTACCAGCATGACAAGCGTGATGCAAAGCCGGAGTTCGAACACAGTTCGTTTGACCATCCAGCATATCATGAGGCCATGTGGCCAAACACAGGGCGCCGCATTCAAGGAAGCCCTTGGACGCATTGCGTTACGAACAAGAATGGATACGGATTCTGGTCCACAAAGACGGAGGAGGCAGGTGAAGGTCGTCAAGGCGGCAATAGCTGGGAGCCACAGGCACAGCACTCCGCCGCCGCCTCCTCTTCCGCAGTCAAGCCGGGTGATGCCGCATGGCAGTGGCATCAAGACGACAATGATCGGTAAACCGCCTGGCAGTGGCGTGGAGGGGACAATGGTCGGTATCATGCAGAGGCCAATGGTCGGGATGACGCTACATGGCAATGGCGTCAAGAGGACAATGGGGCCTGGTAGTGGCATGGAGAGGTATGATGCAGAGGCCAATGGCCGGGATAATGCTACATGGCAATCGCGTGGATACAGCAATGGTCGGGATGATTCTGCCTAACAGTGGCGTCGAGACGACAACGGTCGGGATGACGCCGCCTGGAGCTGCATTAAGACGGCGAGGTCAGGATGATGCCGCATGGCAGTGACGTTCAAGACGGCAACGGTTAACGGTTGGAGAAAGTTGGAGATGGTACTCGTACCAGCATCAAAAAAAGGGCTCTACATGCGACCCTGCCGATTACGATGATCGCGACACAACAGGGTGACGGCATCAAGACAGGGCAAGGGGGCCAGGACCTGGACAAGAGTTTAGCTTGTCGAGCAAACATGCCGCTATCAGTTTCACATTTCGGAATATGCTTGTACAGACCGCCTGAGATGCAAAAACATTCGCCCCTGTTGTCTTGTTGCTCCATTGGTTGGGCAGGACCCGGCCGCTAGCAGTTTGTCATTTCGGCATACCTTTGTACCGACAGCCTGAGGCCGAGGCACGAAAACCTTGTCCCCTGTTGTTTTTTTTTGCTTCGTTGATTCCTGTGTAGCG